TAGTAATTCCCCTTCTCCTTCTCCCTCTTTTTTGGAATTCAAAAAAAAACGGTTTCTTAATTGCTTCTTTTAGAGCAGAAGGAGCAGGAGCAGGAGAAGGAGAAGGAGAAGGGGAATTACTAGGAGAAGGAGCAGGAGCAGGAGCAGGAGCAGAAGGAGAATTACTAGGAGAAGGAGCAGGAGCAGGAGCAGGAGCAGAAGGAGAATTACTAGGAGAAGGAGAAGGAGAAGGAGAAGGAGAAGGAGAATCACTAGGAGAAGCAGGAGAAGGAGAATTGCTAGGAGCAGGAGAAGGAGAAGGAGAAGGATCAGCCGGAGTTGGTCCTGGTGGAATGTTACTTGGAGGAGGAGGAGGAGGAGTGGGATTATTTGAAGCTGGCGTTGGATTGTTATTTGGTGTTGTGGGATTATTAGAAGTTGTAGGATTACCCGCAGACGGAGTTACCGGATTATCAGAGGTAGCAGATGCTGATGCAGATATTGATGCTGCTGCATTCACTGATATTCGCGCTGTCGCTGGTGTTGTTGATGGTGTGGATGACGGTGTTGTTGATGGTGTGGATGGCGGCGTGGATGACGGTGTGGATGATAGTGTGGATGACAGTGAGGGCGGTGAACTAGTTAGATTGTCGAAAGAATCGTTGTTAGTAATTACGTCAGCTACTTGCATTGTTATCATATTTGCATCGAATCTGCTTTATACTTACATTTGCCTTTGATGCAAACCTGGCACAGGCAACGATGATGTTGATGTAAAGAGTAGGGCAATGAGAGCGACGAACAATATCAAAGATGAATCAATCACTTTTTTTATTGCCGTCATTGTTTATTATAGAAAAAGGGTTTATTTACTTTTTGTGTCGGACTTTCGAATTTTTTTCAAAGTAATTGTTTCGATCAATACTCGGACGATCGATGTTTATATAACTCGCCGTCATAAATTAATAAATGCGTGACACAATTTACGCCTAACCATATATAGTGGAGCAAAGCACTATGCAGTGTCAAATTTGGTCAATACGGGTCGAAATCAGTCATGAATTGGGTGATACACACTCCAGAACATGTTACAGATATTTATATCTTTGTTTAAACAATGATTTCTTTATGTCAAACGCTGCAACCTTCACTTCCGTTTTTTATTATTGTTGTTGTTGCTGCGTATTATGCAGTGAAACCTTTAAATGAAATCTCTCCAAGTGCAAGAACTATCTTTCCCTCACTGAAGACAAGTTCTGGTTCGATCCCGAGTTTAAAAAGATATCATTACGATATAAATGCAAACTCTATATAATGCAAGTCATGTTTGATTTGGTCATATAGTCTCAATGCATTGCCTTTGAAGAAGTTCAAGTATGTTCTGCAGGCGTAGTTACTCTTTCCCCGATAAGTATTGTCTCACTTTATGAGGTAACGTACATACATGCATTGTATTGATCGTTTTCTAGAATGTGATTTCCTGGTAAAGAATGCTATTGTATGTACAAATTCTGCGGGCAAGTACATTAATTCGCCATTGAAAGGCGAGTAGAATTTAGACTGATATATGACCATAGGCCCTGAATAAATGATGGATACAAACGAATTAAGTCTCGTTATAAAAATTTCAAAGTCTTTGTTATTGTTAGTACGAGAAAGTTTGAACATGTTGGGTATATTATCTGATACGTCTTGGTTAGTTCAAACGGAATGTTTTTGCGTTTTTTTATGCGATTGGAATGCTGCGATCATATAAAGTGGTCATGTCAGTCTCAGATAAATATGGTTTTCCAGGAATTAGGAAACCGTCACACAAATGTAAATAATAACGTGATCGAACGATCGATCCATATCAATATACCTACATAGAGAAAGAGCGGCACAATGTGGAACTTGATTAAGTTGACATTCGTATCAATGCAATGCTGAAGCTTTGAACAAGTCGGATTAATAGTTTCTAAAAAATCTGCTTTCGAGTAAATGACACTACCAATATATTGAATGCCAATTTAAGAAAATGTTTCGTTTCAAAATTTTGAAGTTTCGCTATTGTCTTTTTCCTTTAATCGTGTATCATTATTGTCTCCTGTCACATTATCTGCAGTAGCTGCCCTGACCATTGACCAGATATCAATAAAAGTATATATCTGAATACGTTTATGTTCATTTTCTTTTGTTAATTTCTATCTAAATTCTTTACGCTCCGAAATGCATTATTGATAATTCGTTTCATAATTGTGAACACTATTCCTACGTCGATTGAAAATATCCGCCCGCGCTTGTCGTGTGAATATTTCAGTTTCATTACGATTATTATTAATAAAATGGTTTGATAAGAGTCCAAATAAATGTAATAAAATTTTAATTCGAACTTTTTCAAGGTTGTTATACCAACAACGATTGGAAGCTATTCCGTGACAACACTAGAAACAGAAATACATACTTTAATTGCAAGCATTTTCGCTGGTTTTACATGCCTCAGAAAAAAACACTTTATGTATCTTTCACAAAGTTAGTTGTTGATAAACATTTGCATCAATTTTAACACTTAGCAGTGAAAGTAAACATTTCAGTAGACGTTTAATTTGTAAAGTAATATTTTCATTAATTGATAACAAATTAGATTTTGAAAATTGTGATGGTCGCAACCGATAGCTGTATGATAATGTTATAAATTGGTAGTCACCATATATTAATATCCAGAAGCATTTCTCATATACTGTACTATAGAATCTATGTATACGGCGAATATATAATAAAAGGTAAAAAATATGACGTGCTTTTCCGTAAATAGTTAATTCGCAGTAGCTGTCGAAACCTGTTATGTTTTCAAAATTTTCGCAGTCAAAAACTTCGTGTACTAAGCTCGAACGTTATAACTTAAAACTGTTAATTAGATTATGATTTGACATTAGTCATACAGGAGCATGATTGTTGTAAAGAAATGAATGTAGATAAGCAAGTTTGGTATCTTCGGTGGTAATAGTGTAAAAGTTGCTGGCTTTAATACGGAGCAACGTTAAACTGCGGGAATATAAATAGAAAGTCTGTATTGTAAAATTTGGTTAAAATATATCAAGACATTATACAGTTTTTAAATATTGTGTTTTCGAAAAGTAAAACAAAAAAAGAAAAAAATTCGATTTAGTCTGTGTAAAATGCATAATAATAAGTTTTTTGCAAAACGGTTTACCGCTGCCGTATCCTTCACAACATTTAATCGCATAGTACTTTATTGAAGAAACAGAGTACTCATGAACAAACCAGATCGATCAAATAGATAATGGTATTCTGGAAAATGTACAGATCGTTCATAATGTTATTCGTTATTGTTTGATTAGTTTTTTCATGTAAACTTTTTTTGTCTATGACAAACCCGCAAACTACGCAGATTCGCTCTTCATCACTTATTACAAAATGACAAATAATTAACGCAAAATCTGGATGCAAGTTTGTCAACCCAACCTAGATAACAGGCATATTAACACATATGTAATATGTTAATGCTTATCACGAGCTTTTTTCGGTATTACATCTAAATGCTAGAAGTCGAGTCGCATTACTAATCACTCTTGCAGTGGTCCAATATGCGAGTCTAAATATCGGCAAGGTAAAATGACAAAGTATTTGCAAGTAGCTCCATAATTAAAAATTTATCTCATCTGTAAGCATGATGGATGAAAAGTGACTAGACGCATATATGAATGAACTTTGTGCTGTACAACCTGTTTAATTTTTCTGTTTGCCGAATAAACCACATCGTGAACATCATTAGCATTAAGTATATATTTAAATTGTATCTGGCGTAGTAGTAGACGCAAATCGTTGTGTATGATGCAAAAAGTATTTCCGAATAGTAATTGCAATCGATTAACCGTGAATTATCGTTGTTGTGTACAACGAATGAGTTTTGGTCATTTGTGATTTGTAACACAAAATACGTAGCACTAAATACTGTTGGTAGAATTATGAAACTTTTGGGGGTTAATTGTGTTTAAAGTATCGAGAGTTTGGCATTGGATCGAGTAGTAAACAATCGTACTTTAATACTACTGGACTATATTCTTTAAACAATTTCATCGGGTGACGATCTGAAGGCTTGGCATGAAATGAGATAGCGTCTGTATAGGAAAACATGTGCCAGAACGTCAGCAATTCAAGTGTTACTGATTACTAAGTAGAGACCACAAAATTGGATATGACCATAATGCTAAGAGCTCGCTTATTGCTAACGTCTGTCGTTCTCAAATGGGAGATTCGTACATGCATGCATAAATTCAACAAAACTGGGTTTTAATTGGTGCGACTCTGACAAAGTTATGAGTTGTACAATGTTTCGGTCCGCAATTAGAGTTGGTAGTACGTTTTACATAGTCATCTCGATTAATTCTACTTTATCTATCCATGGAAGATGCACAGCAACGCCTACACAACAACAACGTTCTGTTTATTATTATTTTTCAGAGTCGAGAACAATTAAAAATTTGTTTGCATTGATCGACTATGTAATTAACCATTTTGAGATTTCTGATGTGCGACACTGTAATATTAATATAAGATTGTGGAAATAGTGAATGGGTTCTAAAACTTTTTCATTCTTTGATTTTTTCTTGACTGAGCTTGGGTCTTAGTTCAAGTCTCGTTTGCTATTTGCAAATACCATTCACACTCTCTTTACAAATCTTTTATAAAACTTGCTGCATTGCATAACATCAAATTATCCTACGAAATGATCAAACTTCGCCTAATCTTGATCGCTCTTATTGTTCTTGCGATTATTACCACTATTGCAAGCGCCGTAAGACCAAAGAGTGATGGGTAAGTGGTATAATTGAAATTAAAGTTGGACAAAAGCCGTACTTTTATAGATATCCGTACACTCACATATCTTCACTATGATCTGACTATTAAAGTGGTTATGACCGACATACTTCGACTTGTCATACTAAAAGAAACGGAAGAAAAAGAAAAAGGAATTGTCTACCTGCTCTTGGAGGAGGGCGGAAAGGAGGATCTAATTACAAGCCACCGGATGGCGCTCACAAATCGGGTAATCACCCAGCCAGCACTCCTGCAATGGGCAACCCCCCCACGATTGGCAACCCTGCGCTCGATCATCCTGCGTTCGATCATCCTACCTATGGTTCACCCAAATAACATTCATACCGTTCGTCGTTGGGTTTCTCAACTGACTTCTCGCTACAATTTGTTTAATCATCTCTTGTTCTTAGAGCCGGGCACATTTACGTAATGTTGTAATAATTAAAATAAACTGGTATTATTCTGATACAAGTTATTTATTATTAGCGGGCTTTCTCAACAGTTTTGATGTTCCGATCCAATTTAGAAATGAACAAGAAGTAGGGCATCAATTTTCAACAACCTTTCTAAATAAAGTAATATCGTATTTAGATTTTGTGTGACGCATTGATGTCAGCCAAAAATGTACAAGATTTTTCAGTATTTTACCTCAGTTTTTGATGACGATTTAAATTGCGTCGTCGCAATTACAATGCCAGGACAAGACTTTGATTCACTTATTATTGACAGAGAGAAAGTACAATGGATCGATCAAAGATTAAGATTTTGGAACCAGGATGTGGTATTTATAAACTGACCCTACTTTATAAAAAAGCAAAGATGGTACTAAATTTGTAACTTTGGGAAATTGTGTAATGATAAAAGGACTTATTGTTGGGAGAGCGTTGGATACTTGGTGGATATAATGGGATATATCAGTATATATGTCAACTACAAAGAGTTTTATATTCCACATTAGATCTAAACAAAATAAGTGATATAGTAAGTTTTGGTAGTAATACTTACAGTGTTATTGCTGATTATTGTGTTTATCCTGCCTTTGGAGCTGGATATGATTTATTGTTAGTAACAAACTTTATGGTAGAAGACATTCATACAGGTTCCCATACGACAGTCGGATCATTTTGAATGGGCCGATTGGGAAGTGTTTTCAGTTTTTAACATTGATGTTTTGTAATATAGTCAATATTGATACCTATCAGACAATTACTTTATAGATGCTGCATACTTAACACATCCTAATGTATATTACATCATATGCTATGCTAGAGCATTTTTCCAAATATTAAAAAAATCAGCTATTGCTAATTAGTCCGACGAATAATAATTTACGGGTTTATTTTCGTTTTTCTATTAAAAGTGTCCGTAAAACTCTCGTTATCAATAGATTCTGACTGTGAGTTGATAAGTAATTTTCGTATGCCGCATATAGTGTCGCATTTTCGCCCACTCGATTCGTATATTGTTATTTCAATTCTATTAAACTGCTGCGTACACAAGTATTTTAGTATCAGTAATAAACTCTCCTACTGAGGCACGTTGGTCAATGTCAGTAATAATTTAATAAATTAGTGAATTAAGTAATTGATATCATCATCATTTAAATACACCGCATTATAAAAACCATGCACTACGCATTGGCCACGAAACCATACAGCTGTCGCGGGCAAGAGACGACAAAGACTTTGCTTCGGGTTGATAAAAGACAGTAATGTTATGTTCATACCACATAACCTTGTCCGTTCTAAGGATTATAATGTATACGTTACTAGTTTAGCTAAACTTGTAGTTTGTCATACTTATGTTAAATGTTTCAGACATTGCAACTGTTACGCAGAACAGAATATTCGTTAACCGCTTGGTACTCAAAGAGTAGATCATCTTTTTTCCAAAGTTATGCTGTCGAAACTTGGTTAAATTTCATACGCGGCGCCTGATACGATATAGTGTAGAGTAAACTGGTGGTAATAAATATCGGGTCCGTATCATTTCGCCGACAGTTCATTTCGCCGATAGTTCATTTCGCCGACAATTAATTACCTAAAAAGGATATCTTCGAAATAATGTTGGTAAACATTTGTCGGCGAAATGATTGTTGGTGAAATGATTGTCGACGAAATGATTGCCTTCCATAAATATCCAATGACCTAATTCTTTGACAAACGTGTATTGACTTTGATCCATATTAGTTTATTTTTAACAATTCAAGTATGCACTCCGTACAACAAAAGTGCTTATGTCAAGACTATACAACACATCGATTGACTTGTTTACAATGACCATATTGCTCGATTTGGGTAATTTGACTGACATGGGAACCTGTATTTTATAGATACAAAATTAACTCGTATGACTATAAACTTTTGATACGACCATACTAAATTGGGATTTGAAGCGTGTAACACAAATTATGGTATCACTAATAACTGCTAGTGTAATACAAGTGAGAATAGCAGAATTCTAGAATGCCAACCGTCGGCATTTGGCGTTCTTTGTAAAATTCTTCTACATACGAGCAAGCCAGTAGTAAACGAGATACCGAAAAAGTGACGTAATATGAAACACTCGTTTACAATATGTTTGATTTAATAATTATTACATAATAATACCTATTGTATAAATTACTTCTTTTATCCTCGCACAGCTATTATTCTTCGAGATTTAAAAAAAAATCTTTTATCAGCGAGTCAAGCCTTACTCATTCCGCCTCCAAATCCCCAAATATTGACAAACACTTACCATGATTCATACATTAGTGGTTATATTGCAATACTAATTATTAACCCCCGTATTAGTATTTGTTACCAACTTAGTAATCAATAATAATCTTATTCGACTCGCAAATATGGTTGTGGAACTTGGGATACCATCTACGTTTGAATCACAAATACATAGACTTGACTCTGCTTGCTTATTATCACAAAGAAACTTTCTAGGTTGTGAAAAGTTTTATTTAACCCCTGGTGAATATATGCTAATCGCATAATGTAAGAATGTGGGTTGAACAAGATCGAGTTGATTGACAATATATATAGTGGCAGCAAACAGATGGGAGAGTCAGTAACTTAAATAATTTTTGACTAAGCTTAGGCCTTAGTCGAGTCTCGTTCGGTATTCTTTTCACTCTCCTTACACAATCTTTACGAGTTCTACTACTCCATATACTATCGATACTCCAACCTTCAACACAGTTACCTCGTACAACTCTCAAAATGATCAAACTTCGTTTAATCTTGGTTGTCATTATGGTTTTTGCAATTACTATCGCTGTTGCTCTACCGATACCTTCTCTTGATGATGATGATGGTAGCGGGTAAGTATCTTTAAACAGAAAAGGATGAGTAAGAATTTAACCTGTCAATAAGAATTCATATATAGATTATTTAAATAGCTGACCGATAACCGGTTCATACTTCCATACTTCATGACACTCTAAACAGCTTTCGAGGCACCACGACTTGCAAAAACAGCAGAAAAAGGTGTATACTTCTCAATACCGGCGGCGGACATCACGGAAATACTAATGATGATAACCCAGACACTGCCGCCATTTAGTTCGACCGATTTTTATATAACGTTGCATCCTTTCTCAATACTGGATGAACTTGTAAAAACTTTAGCTCTCTATTCCAATTGATAACATGTGAGCAACAACGCCAGTATATAAACAATGGGATATCAACCTCACATGGAGAGACATGTGCATAGTAAACGTGATTTGACTGAATTGCAAACCGAATGACTGGCTGAGTGTTTCTATGGTAAATACCTTAGTAACAGTTGCGGTTGAGCATATAAATAAAGATCAATACGAATTAGTAAATTGTCTTGCAAATGCGTATGTGGCGTGAATAAAGTATACTGTAGGTTAATTCGAGAGAACAACGCTTTTAACGCTAATAATCAGAACCCAAAAAGAGCAGTAGTAATCAGACAATATCGCAGGCCAACTGTCCTTTTATCGGTTACTTTGGATGTGAGCAAGGAAAATTCGACTTGTAAACCAGCCGAACACGTGAATATTAAAAATTGCTTTAACATTTAAGTACGGATGAAATGAGAATTTATTACCAGTGTACCATATGTCGTGCCGCAGCTGTCAATGCACGCAAGATGCATAAAAATGCTGCGAGTTTAATAAATTACTTATCGTTATTATTTATCTCGTTGCCTAGTTAGATTCTGGGAAACCGCATTGCGCAATAAGTACAATACTCACGGCACAAAGTTGCCTGTCAAGGCGGAATGAGTAATTGTTGCTATCAATACATACAAATTGTACAGTTATGTAACAGAAATAACAAACTCCGTTTTCAATGTTTGCTTATATCAAATATAACTTGACTTACGGCCTGTTTTTCCAAACAGTCCTGCTTTAAAACGTAGTACTGTATATATAGGCAAAAGAAAACTCCGAGAAGAAAGATTCTTATACAAGGTCGAGGCGTACATTTAACTTATATATGTATACTGCAACAATTAGTATTCAATATGACACATCTGCGAAGTAAGCTGTTGGTTATTCGCGTTAGATAGTGAAACCGAATCTATTAAATTTGAATATACTCTAATACTGCCTTACCCAGACGAAGATATACTTAGTTACATTATGTTCGAATTTATAATATTCTCATGTCTATAGTTTGTTTACACTGATATTATATAATTGTAGGAATATTGATCAATCCACAATTGATAGGTTAATGTCATCTCGACGTTGAATCAACCAATGAAATTACTTTAACATCACGTGAATAATTTGCTAACGTTACACGCGATGCATATTAATTTAATAAAACCCGTTTTCTTGTCCAAATCTTATTAAGATCTTCACATTCGCAAATTCCGAATTCAAAATGGATTGATATAACCATATAGTAATCATGTTACGTCGGACGCGGGGTCGCAATTGTCTGATCATACCAGTCACAGGAATATTATTGTTTATCTTTATTCTTCATAATTGGAATATTGCAGCCTAAAGATCTTCTTTATGATCATTCCAATATTTCAATCATATGTGGTTAATAATAGATATATATACATGCGATGCGAATAGATAGGTGGGTTCATAACGTATCAATTTTTTTGACTGAGCTTAGATCTTAGTCTGCAGCCAAGACACATTCGGTATATTTGCAAATACCGTTCACACACTCATTATAAAGTCTTTTGCGAGTTCTGCTACTCTATTTAGTATCAAATTATTCCTGGAGCAACTCACAAAATGATCAAACTTCGTTTAATCTTGGTTGTCATTATGGTTTTTGCGATTACTATTGCTATTGCTCTACCAATGATTCCTCCAGATCTTGCTAATAACGACAAGTAAGTGTTATTATATAAGAGGAGATGAAGAATTTTATTTTGGCAGGACAATGGATGAGATATAAGCACCTATAACATGTCTCTAACCTTTGTCTATTAAAACAGCGACGCGCGAAATCCTGTGACCTGCAATAAACAAAAAAAGGGCATACATTGTCCGGTCCTTATTGGAGGTCCTGAAACCGGGAATACTAATCCCGCGGGTACAACTCAGCCACCTGTCGGTCCCCCTAGCCTAGAACGGATTTAATCAGATCGATTAGTAGCATATTATCTAATAACATGTCATTAAGAAAATAAACTGGCTTTTTATTTTGTTAGGACGTAAGCGTTAGCCCACAAATGTGTCATGCTGAATATTAAGTCAAAAAAAACAACAACAACACTAATTTGAACAAAGCTCAATTATTGTTTGCGCACTGTTGACACTGCAGTATATGAGTTTACAATTTGTTTCTAACGGCTACTGAAACCAAATCCATTGACTTTCAAGACCGCTGAATATACATAATACTGCACTGCTCTATTTTAGTTAATGCATGATGGTTTAAATGTATGATATCAATTATTACGCAACGTATTGTCAAACGTACCACAAAAATTGCGACATTTGCATCTTTACTCTAATCGTAATGCTTCACTGCAGGGTTATTGCTGAGTTGCACTGTTTTTCATTTACGCGACCAAAATTACGCTGTTGCTTCCTCAAGAAATTTAGCTTTAATTCGATGGAAGAATGATTTAGCAGTTGCAACATTTATTTTCTCTTGGTTGAGTTATTTTATTTAACTTAACTAATTATAATGAGTTTAACCCTTCAGAGATCACGGGACTCGTTATGCGCGTTACACGGAATGCATATTACAATATATTAATATTAATTGTCGGACTTGCAAACTCCGAAATTCAAATATGAATATCAATAGATCTGGCGCAACATTATCGTTTTAGATCGCAATCGGTGTTTACCACGATCCACATGTAAGTGGCAGTCACAGTAGTGGCAACGAAACCATTTATTCTTTGTAATTAAAATGCATGCTACTTTTGATAGGGGTTACAATAGTCTACTCGTGGCGAATATGCGCAGTCACTGACAAAACATTTGGAACATTACGGTCAGAAGAATTTAATCGATTTTTTCCCGATGTTTCAATCCCATGTGGTTAAAAACACATATGCCACATCTTTGATTCGAACATATAGATGAGTCTGTAACTTGTAAATTTTTTTAGACTAAGCTTAGACCTTAGTCTTGTGCAGCCAAGACACGTTCGGTATTGTGCAAATACCGTTCACACGCTCATTACAAAAGTCTTACGCTATTCTATCTAAAATTAAAAGCATATTATATTTGCCTGATGTAATTGACAGAATGATCAAACTTTATTTAATATTGGATATTATCTACCAAAGATTCCTCTTGATGACAATGAGCAAGTGTCATTATGTTAATAAGATAAGGAAGAGTTCTAGATTAGCGGGACAGTATAAGTATGTGAGATATGTAAAAAATTACGTGTATATACAAGTTGTTAAAATAGTTGATCAATAACAGTTCACACTGGTATTCAATCTCCATATTTACGATTTTGTCTATTAACACAGCACCCCTCATTCCCTTTCGAAATCTTGTAAAGTGTACAGAATAAATGAAGGTGTGGGTTGTTCAATCTTTATTGGAGGTATCGATCTCAACGGCGCTAATAATGAAGGCACAGCACACAGTAACCGGGGTCATAAAATTTATTATTTTCATTGAGAGAATAAAACAACTCTTTATTATTATGTTTGAGCAATTTTGCTAGTTAGATTATTTTTAAGTTAAATATATGAAAAACGTTGTACAAATAACAATAAAGACGAATAAATTAGAACATCAAGATATCAATAGTAAAAGTGTATTGGATTAAATATATTTTCATATCGACAAGAAAACAGTGTTTATGAATGAATTGCCTATACCTATGTATACGTTAATGTTGTCTTTTTTTACTAATAACAAAATTGGGTCAAGGAACAAGCATGTGTACAGTAGTACTCGTGACATTCAATCACCAATGACATTATTATAATATTTTTTCGGCCGAACTCTGATCGACTCTTTTTAACCCTACGACTATATACGCACAATTAGAATATTCCTTGTATCGTTTGAGAATTGATTGTTACCGCTCCTTTTCAAGTAATCGATGATTCATCCAAATTGGGCAGAACGTATTACCAACTTAATTACCAATCCCCAATTTTATCAAGATTTTCATTCACGTATTCGCAAATTCCAATATGGGATAGCAACGGTTTCGAGCTTATAGATTTGTGCAAGGTGCAACCAAAACGTTTCAGACGCGAGTTGACATCTTAAAATTCGTTACGGCAGCAACAACAAAGCTCATAACCTTGTGTCATATTAAACGTTTGTTTGTTTTTCTTTGTAATTCGTAACATGATAAATTTTAATCAATTCATTAAAACCACTGTCATAATCTATTCATATGTGTCGATATGCAGATCAAGCAACATGTATATAAACACGATGTGAACAAGTCTAACCTTATCAATTTTTTAACTAAGCTTAGGTCTTAGTCAAATACAACCAAAGTCTTGTTTGATATTTTACAATACCATTAACACACTCTTTATCAAATTAATTCTCTATATCGACTTACCCAATTCCAAACACATCCAATTTACCTCGTACAATTACGTTACGTTTACCCACCACGAAATGTTGAAACTTCGTCTACTCTTGGTTGTTATTATGGTTCTGGCATTTGCTATTGCTGTTGCAACTGCTGGCAAGGAGTAAGTGATTATTAAACAAGGCGGCATGGGAAGAATACATACACTTTAGCGAGATTTACTAGCATCTGTCGGATATTTCTATTAGATACTTGATCAAATAAAGGGCTCGCCATTGCCTGGTGTATTTATACTCATATCAATTTTATTTACTAAAGCAAAGATGGTAGAACGACTGTAGGCTGTAATGGTAAAAGAAGGGCTAGAAGAAGCAGAAGTAAAAGATCTATCAATATATGTAATTACTTTGGCGGAGCAAATAAACCTGGCAATACCAATATCGTGCCAGGTGATGATAATATAATTAATCCCGGCTTCAATCCCGGCTTCAATCCCGGTGCGATCGGAAACTCTGCAATCGGGGGTGGACGCAAGTAATCCATCACATTGGCACGCAGTCTTTGAATTTTCACTAAATTCTTTACAATTTGATGAATTTGGTGTACTTATCATGTTTATAATAATTATTAATAAACAAATACTCACCAAAGTAGAATTAATATTTATTGCATTTGCGAATCATGATCTTTTTGGTAGTAGTAGCTTCCGAGTAACAAAACAGTTATATTGGGTTAGACCCGATAGTCCTTTCAACTGGCTCTTCGGTATTATTATTATATCATAGGGATGATGACTTTTCAGTAATTAGGCTGCACTTTAACTGTCCAGATCTTGTTCCTTGGCGCGGATACAATGTTTGCCCAACTGCAAAAAGTCAAAATTGTTCGTGCTTACACTGTTGCAACACATGCGATAGAGTTACGACTTTATTCCAATGTAGCAATAATACAATGCCTACTATAATCAGTTTAATAGTTATACAGTTAGATGTTCTACCAACTATCTATTGTATCTATTTATTATTCTATCGTTTTATGAGCTCAGTGAACTCATAAACTATAAGTATCACGTTTGGACCATATGTCGTTGTATTGTTGTGTTGGGGAATTTTCGCGTCTGTTTGATATATGACTACTGCGGCGTAAAGCAGTTCAAGTGGGCCGTACACAGTAAATCACGTCCACTGCTTTTAAAATTGCCCTGTTAAGGGCCTTATTCAAAAGTAGCTTGATGTTAAATGACGACAGCATCTGGATTTTTTTAATCGTGTGTGTTACAATTACTGTCGAAATTTTAGACGAAAAATTCTCGATACAATTCAAAATGATAAATCATAGATGTTACTTTTCTTTGCGTACAGCCATTTCGTTTAAAAGATTACGACCGACCGACATATCTAATAAAAATTGGTTTGCAACAAGCGCACGCCAAGATAACTCGACCATTGCTCTATTGAAACGTCTTCGCTCAGAGACCCAAGTATCTATCACAAAAGCAAAAGAAGCTTTACAAGTTAATGATAACGATTACGATAAAGCGTTACAATGGTTATTAGAAGATGCTAAGCGTAGTGGCGCAACAAGGGCAGAGAAGGTGAAAGGACGCATCGCAAAAGAAGGTTTAATTGGAATTGCATTAAGAGAAGGAGGAGGGGCCATAGTTGAGGTACTGCAAAAGCGTGATCTCGATCTCGTACAAAATGACACATTTCATAACGAAACCCATTGGCTTATATAGGTAAACAGTGAGACTGATTTTGTCTCGAGAAACAAAATATTTCAGGATTTAGTTATTCGTATCGCAACAACGGCTCTATTTCTTTCATCCGACCTGTCACCTCGCGCTGCACGCCCACGCGTTACCGATATCCCCATCTCTTTTCTCGAATCGAGCCCACTTCTTCCTCACCCATCAGCGACAACGGCTGCTTCAGCGCCATCAATGACAGTAGCAGAATCTATAGTTGATACTATTGGTAATTTAAAAGAAAATATTAATTTGAGAAGAGCAGCCGTGGTCGACGGTGAAGGAGCCATCGTAGGTGGGTACGTTCACGGAGGAGAGACATGGACGGGGAGGTATGGCGGCCTGGTCGTTTTCGGTGCAGATGGTGGTGGTGGCGGTGGCGGTGGTATTGAATCTAAAGCGAATGAAGATGTCAAAAAGCTTGCTCGTGGTTTGGCAAGACAAGTTGTAGGTTTAAGTCCGAAATACATTGACGAAGCGAGCGTTAAGCGCATTCCATATGACGTAGACAAACGCGAATACCTTGCAGAGACTGTGTTATTAAATCAGGATTACTTACTAGGTGGAGGCTCTGTCAGTCAAATCTTGCAGAAGGCAGGAGAGGGATTGGGTGGTGTGAAATTCAGTATCTTTGATTTTGTTAGGTGGGAATGTGGTGAGGGAATAGAAAAACCAGTGGAAGATTTTGCAACAGAGGTTATGAAACAGGCAAATCTCTCTCAAACCCACTAAATAGCTGATTTTATTAAATATGATCATTATATCAAAATGAAATTGAATAAATACAAAATATGTACGCCTACTTTTTTGAAGTCATGCGTCCAGCAATACTATTATATAGTTTCGTATTTTTACTGTCTAGGTAATACTAGAGCCTTAGTCAAAACTCTCTTGTTATCCTGGTGTCCAACCATAGGGAAACTACAAATTTCCACCTCCAACTCTTCTATATTTTCTTCATCCCACGGGCCTGACATTGTGCTAACTACAATCTTTTCTCCTGCCTCAAAGAATTTTTTAAACTGTGGGATTGGTTCTTGAGTATGGAGTCTAAAGTACATGTGAACGGCCTTAATTACGAGCTCTGTCGCATCACTACGTAGGTCAGCCTGCTTTTGAGGATCATCAGGAACGGTGCGATATTGTGATAAAGTCTCGACAATTTTGTCTGTAAGTGAGACGACGAATGGATGGTCGGGCTTGACAAATGCTCTGCAACCAAGAACAGCGTATATCTGTTGTCGTAATTTGGTCGGAGCTATCGTAGTTTGTTGATCTTCACCTTCTCTAGTTGACGAGAACTCTTGCACTAGTCGAATCAATTGTCGAGACGTCTTTAGAAGATTGATCTCCAGAGCGTTGTTGTCTGTCGACAGTGTAATTTCCACGTGACCATCATTTGACCCTTCTGCCGACTCATCTATTGGATCATCTTGGCCTTTAAAATAATCCTCTATACTATTAAATATCGTCTCTAGAACCAATCGTTGCAAAGCGGCTCCAACAACAAGCTTGGGTCTTTTATCTGACATTCTAGCTTTACAATTGTATTTCTCTAATAGTTCATTGCAAGCGGCTTCATTGAGTTTCACACCGGAACCTTTTGCCTTTGCGAAATCACCAAGAGTATGTTGGAGATCGCTGATCGATTGAGTGAGTTGAACAGAGTTATTTGAATCTTCGTCGCCCCATCTAACATTTGTGGCTATTCCCAGTGCAGATTGGTATGCTGAGGCTTCCTCTTTAAGCCTCCTAATCTCTTTGTTCAGTTCACGGGCCTCGAGATCTAAGATAAACAATATTCGTGGAAATTGTAGTCGATGTAGTTATTATGGAATTAGAGCGCTGATTATCATAAATTCAAATTCATATAATCGTCTATTTGCTTACCTGCTTCATTGATTCTATTATGTAATCTCTGTCTTTCCTTCTCAAATTGTTGTTTCATTCGGTCTACATCCTCGTTACTAACATCGAATCTGTTCTTGTCCAAATCGCTTAGCAACTGTTGAAGCTTCTCCTTCAATTTCGCCTTCTCTCCTTTATCCTTTATTCGTCTATCCTTCAATTTTTTTATTTTCTTGCTTAACATTGCGTTTTGTTCTCCAAGCGAATATCTAAGAAGATCAGCGGCATCGTCTGCCGAGTCTGCGTCGTCGCTGTCGGTTTGCTTTTGCCTCTGTGATGTAGATTCTTCAACGGACGGGGGTAGCTGTATTGGCGTGATAGAGTTTCGATGATAAATATTGTTGTAATCTTAGGGAAAAAAAATAGAATGATTAGTAACGGTTTAATTTGATCTGATAACTACTGCCACTCGCTCTAAGGAGAAATTTATTTAGACATACCTGGACGAACATCCTGCTTTGCTGATTGATCGAAAGTTTGATAATTATTGTAGTTATATAACTGTGCGTATGACCGCTTCCATCAATCATCGATTTATGAATATTCATTAGCACATTCTCTTACCAGTCATTTGAGCGCTAAAATGCTTGTTCTTTTGATCAGTCTGTGAATAAAAAGGTTGCATATGTGGTTGTAAATGAGGTTGTAAGTGGGGTTGTACCTGAGGTTGTAACTGAGGTTGTAACTGAGGTTGTAACTGGGGCTGTACGTGAGATTGCATGTGAGGTTGCATGTGAGGTTGTCTAGCTTGGACGTCAATTGATGCGTCTGGCAACTGTCTTGCGTCACTCATATCCTGATCTTGTAGGCTCTAGTAATTATTTGTTAGCATGATTGTAGATAAACATTTCTTTTTCTTTTTTCCATTATAAATCAAAAACTTACAGATAATGGTTTGGTATTATCAGAGAGAGCCGAGTTCCATGAGGCATCAGCCATGACTGCGTATATACGAGTGAGCGTTGTCTAAAATTAGTGATCAATAGTTAATTGAAGGTCTCACAGATTGTCAACAGCTGCACTAACCAATGGGATGTCACATTCTATGGGCCAAAAGGTGTGTTACATACCTTCGATTCATCAGCGAGATCGTTGCCCTTGCTTGGTATGCGTTGAGTTATAGATTGAGCGATTCTGCTAATGTATTTCGGCATGACATGACTAATAGCGATAAGGTATTTTTACTCTCTCTGTTAATTATATCAATTTACAGATCTTGTGCTTCGTAATCACCATTCGGTAAAGGTCGCCCCAAATGGTAATCATTTCGTTAGATAAATGGACTTTATAATTACCTTGCAGCCAATCGTATTGACACGTGAGTGTACAAGCAAGACACTGCCGATAGTTACTGCACTGACGAGGCAGTTTTTATAATCCGCAATACATATCAAAAACGAAGATACGTATAAAAAAAACCCTGTACTTGTTTCCGTTTTCCGTTATTCACACACACTTGAGAATTTACGTATCTTATGTAATTAATATTTTACTCGGCAGTTGAATTTTTGACATACGCAACAATTTACCTTTTAAAATCCCCACCCTTTAATATCCCACCTGCGAAGCGGGACGGATTTCCTCTATTGTATTTCCATATAAATTTACCTCATTAGTGTCCCCTTCAGAAATATCCCTATCCCGATATTTTTGCCGTCCATATCATATAATAATCAATAGTGTAAGACTTTATTTCCAAATATCATATAACAATCTATTATTATCATATCCCCTATTTACTGTTGCACAAATCTATCTATTATTATCATGAGAGTATTACTATTACTACTACACTCACTGGACAAAAGTCTACGTAATTTTTGTCGATCACATAGTAAAACATATGAAAAATCTATTTTTTCGA